CTGAACAAAACAAAATCTGAAGACTTATGATCTTGTTTCCAGACAAAGTCCTGGACTTCCCTGGACTCCTGGACATGATGGCACCTCGACTCAGGCCGGTAAGGGTCCTTGCCTTGGAGGAGATTTTATGCAGAGGGGTCATTCCAGTTGGTCCTGCTTTGTCTGCGGGGCTGAGGAAATGGACAGGAATACCTGCAATGGAGGACTCTGGAGCACTAACTACGTGTTTCCTCCTACAGATGCGTCCACCACCTCCCCCGCCAGCTAAAGCCCCGGATCCTGGGCACCCAGATTCCCTCACCTGAAGGCTGGGGGATCACCACCCCCAGTGATGCTGCTGCCCTTATCTCCATGCTGCCAGAGCCAGACCACCAAAAGCTGAAATCTCCCTTATTTCTAGGGGTAGAAACTTCCCCTTTCCCTATTTCTGGGACTGGAACCCACTCCTTTTTCCCCATTGTCCCCCTGCCGTCTCTAGGGCTAGAACTATCCTTTTCTCTTCTGCCACCATCGTATCTCCAGGGCAGTGACACACCCTGACGTCTCTGGGGCTGGAACCTATCCCGCAAAGTCTTGAGTGGCTCCAGTCCATCTATGTCTCCACCCGGGCTCTGTGACCCACCCAACTCTGGATGCCAGGGTCACTGGGGTTGGGGGTAGGAGAAGAACAGGCCTTGGGAGTCAGAAGGAGCTGGAGCCAGTATGCAAAGCAGCTGTAATAGTCTGAGCGGATTTATTGACAGTGAATAAAGGGCATGAAGGCCGAGCAAGAGCCTGGGCCTCTTGTGCCAAGAGGGCAGGGGCCCTAAGGTGCTATTGCTTTAGGGGCCCACCAGGGGCAGGGGCCTGCTCCCAGCTGCCACGCTCTGGCATATGGAGCAAGGTGTTGGGGAAGGCAAGTCAGGCAGCCTGTTGGCAGGCAGGGGAAAGGAAAAGAGAGTGAGGGGCTAGGTATGGGGGGAACCTCTCCTGAGGTCCCCCAGCCTGAGACCGTGCAACTCCAGGTGGAAATAGAGCTGGTCCCTCAGCTGGAGAGCAGTGCTGTCCAGTGGAGGGGAGGGCCTTCATGCCCACCCACTCCCTGGCCCTGCCAGCTGGTGGTCCATCAGCGCAATGAAGAATGAGGCTTGGAGGAGAGGAAGAGTAACAGTGTTGCTTCCTGTTCAAGCACTGTCCCAGTTTTACCCCAGTGGCTGCAGGACCTTCCCTGTCCCTGGAGCATATATCCACTCCCACCACCAAACCAAGGAATTTATAGCAAAGACTAAGCCTGCAGTTCACCCTGGGGGTTCAGGGAGCTGATAGGCTTACATAGTTTAAGTAGGTGATGGGAGGATGAGATTACCTGACTTAGGGCTCAGGCAGACTCACCTCACATACCTCCTGCTCCCCGTGGTGGAGACCCCTGAAAGGGGAGAGGTCAATGGGAGAACAGGAGGTAGGTCATTTCAGTGCCCGCAGAGTAGGGGACAATAATTGCTGAGCCCACCATAGCCCACTGCAGCCCTGGCCATGGCTTCATACCTGGTGCTCTGAGGTGTCTGGTTTGCTTGGCTGTCCATTTGCCTCTTGCGTGGGCAGCCCTGGGCTTGGGCCCCTTCTTCCAGTCCTCGGTGTTGGCTCTGCAGAGGCTCCAGGCTTCCCCTCAAGTGCACAAGGGACTAGGCTGCTGTCCCTGAGTCCCCCATTCTGCACTGTGGGGCTGGCTAGGGCTTGGGGCTGTGGCCTCTCAGGGGGCAGCCTATCTATGGCAGGTATTCCTGCCCTGGGCTGTCCTCCCCCAGGCCCCTGGCCACCCCCTGGGTCTGGCCCCACACCAGAGCCCCAGCTCCTGTCTGTGGGGGAACCATCACGATGTTCATGTAGCCCGTAGCGCCTCTCAATATGTGTCACCCGGAACCTGGGAGGGGATGTAACACGAGGACTTAAGATCTCAATTCAGAAGCTGCTGTCCTTCCCTCAGACCAGGGACATCCTGGGTTTGATGGCCACCTCCCTCTGGCCTAAGGCAAGGGAGGTCTTCTCAGATTGTGGGGCACATTGTGCAGCCTGCCTCCTGCTGCAGTTCCCAGTCCAGGAGGAAAGAGCTGGGGCCTACCTCTGGGGTCAGGTGCTGGATCATTGGGGCCCCCACCTCAACCTCCCTTTCCCTGGAGCACTCTATCCCCACCTGCCCACGGAGAACACGGTGGTCTCTCCAGTCCGGGGGCGGCTTTTTCCTTCCTTGGAGCGGCCCTGGCGGACAAGTGGGGGCCTCTTGCTGCGGCTGCAGTGGATGCAAGGGGCTGCAGAGCCCAGGTGCACTGTGTGATGATGGGAGGGCGTTCCATCCTGCAGGCTGGAGGTGGCATCCACGCTGGACAGTAGGGAGTAGGGGAGCAGGGGTAACATTTCCATTTCCTGTCTGGGATGTTTCTTCCTGTTCTTTCAGCATGCTCCTTAAACCCCCCAGCAGCCCCACTTTTCCCAGGCCCCAACACTCCTCTTTATCTAATAAATTCATTATTAGGATGTTATTGACCATGTGTTCTTCCTCTCAGGGCTATTTGCTAAAAGGATGGCAATGCTTAACCCAAAGGAGTGGCACTAGAGGTGAACATTAGGCTTGATATCTAGATGGCAGATAGGGTTTGAAGGAATCAGGATTTCTATAAAACTTTCTTTTGGTAAGTTAGCCTGTCCTGTCCAAACCCCAACCCCAAACATGCAAGGAGACTGGGAGAGGATTGTGCTGGAGGAGAGGGTACTCTCCAAGGCAAGCAAAGTCATGCTGACCCTTGTTTCCAGCTCACCTGGACAACTGCACTGTCCCTTCTCCTTCACTGTCCCCCAGCATCTCCTTCAAGGCCTCAGCATTAGCTGAGGGGAGAAGGGAAAGAGGGAGTCAGTGGAGGTGGAGGTCAGAGCAAGAGAAAGTTGGGGGAGAGGGAAGCAAGTGGCCAGCCTAGACCCACCTTCATTTTGGATGATGCAGCGAACAATCCTCTCTACTGTGTCTTCATTCATGTCATCGTCCTCAGCTGAAGGATGAAAGAAGTTGGCAAGGAAGCAGGAATGAGTCAGCTTTGGGGGAACATTACCCAGTGGCCCCCATGGCTTATTGCTCAAGACATACCCCTTTACCTTTTTGCCATCACACTGGCCTTTAGCATCTCAGGGGCCAGAAAGGATGGGGATGTCAGTAGGAGCCCAAGACTACCATCAGTGGACACTTCCTGCCCATGCTGCCTTCCCTAGATTTGCTTTTGGGGTGGTGGTACCCCACTTGCTGACCTAAGAATGCATCACTAGGCTTCCTGTAGGCTTAACTGGGATTTGGCCTGGGTCTGTGGGCCTGGGAGGCAGAAAGGTGTAGGGAGAGGGGTAAGGAAGAAAGGTGACTGAGCCAGGGTTCCAGACTCCTCACTCACGGGCCTGAAGCTGGGCGTCGTCAGGCTCTGAGCTCCTCGACGTACGGCAGCGATAGCCCTTCTTCTTGAGCACGTGGCAGATCATGAAGCCTACGAGGCCCATGAGGAAGAAGACCAGCACAAGCAGGAAGAGCATGTACAGTCCATGCTGGGGCGGCTCCAGGTCAGGCTGTGGTTCCGACATGAGGCCCTGGGGGGCGAGCGCGGGCCAGGGCGCCTCCTGGGTTTAGGGGGCTGCAGCTGGGGATGGGGGAGGGGTAGGAATGCCATCCTCAAGATCGGAAACAAGCACATCTCAAGAAATCCGGCCCCACCCCCTACCCAACTAGGGAGCTGTCCGGGCCAGGGGTGCTGCTTCGCCAATACCGCCTGGGGCAGGAGGTCAGACGGAGGCCGCTCAAGCCCTCTTCCATGACCCTGGTCCTGCTTCCCCGACGCCCAGAGCGTTCCCCTTTCCAGCTCGTCCGCGCTTCCGTCCCTCCCAAGGACACTGCAGCGCGAGATGGGACGGAATTCTTAGGCGGCGGGAGCAGAAATCGCGCCTGAGTCAGCGTCTGCACCTCCTCTGCGCTGGCCTGAGTCAGGCCTCTGCAGCCCCCTCTCCTGCCTGTACTCCCGCACCTCTCCCCTTTCCGTTCCCCCCACCCTGACCACCTGGCCCACCCGGTACCGGTGATTTGGTTCCGGCTCCGGCTTCTCCTCGGGTTCCGGCTTCAGGGGTGTCCTAGTCCGGCTCAGGGCCCCCGACGCCCTCCCGGAGCTCATCCCTTGATTCCTCCCCCTCCCCCCTTCGCCGCCTCACCGGCTCCGGGCTGTGGCTGCGGATACCGGTGCCGCGGCCGGCGGGGGGGAGGGAAGGATGGAGAGGGGTGCGGGTTTTTTGGGAGCGGCGGCAGGCTTCGGACAACTCCGGGCCTGGGTTGGAGGAGATGGGCGCCTCCGCAACCGCCCTGGCTTCCCAAATGCTTTTGCCGGTCGCCGGCCCAGGACCAAGGGGCGGAGCGCAGGTGTGCGGGGCGGAGAGCGTGAGCCTTGCGCGCGTGTGAGCGCAAGTGGGGTGTGCGCGTGACTGCGCCGGGCCCCCCCGGGGGGAATGTGCGGCGCTTAGTCTGGGTCCGGGCGGGGGACAGGCGGTCCGGCGAGGGTGTTCTCCACTGTCTATCGCGCACGCCTGGCGCTGCTCCTGCCCTCAGATGCCCGGACCGAGAGGATAGTCAGGAATCTTCCCAGCGGGCGCGGGGAAGCTGGCTTTCTGCACCCGAGAGGGGCGGCGTGGCTGGATCTTCGGAGCTTCCTTGAGAGGTGACCACGGCCTGCGCCCCGTTTGGGGCTAGTGGCTGGATGAGATGGCTCGGCTTCCCGAGAATAAGACCCCTGCCGGGAAAGAAATGGCCCTCGCATCCTAGAGCGGCGCTACCGCTTGCCCAGCCTAAGCCCGGCGCTCAAACTCCAACTGCTGGGAGAGCCGAGCGCGGCGCGGGGCGGGGCTGGCTCCCCAGGGGGCGTGGCTCTGGGCGTGGTCTCGGGGGCGGGGCCTGGGCCTCCCGGTACCGCAGGAGCAGGCTGCGTGCTTGCGCAGCACGCACGCCTAGGGGTGGGGCTGGCGGGCGGGCGGCTGAGGCGCGGGGCCTGGTCCCGCCGGCACCATGGCCAAGACCGTGGCCTATTTCTATGACCCGGACGTGGGCAACTTCCACTACGGTGAGGAAACAGGGTTGTGCACGAGGGGTTGGGACGCGGAGGTTTTGAGGCAGGGGCTGCAACTCCAGGAGTGGAAACTGACGAACTCTCTTCTCCCCACCCCCAGGGGCTGGGCACCCTATGAAGCCCCATCGGCTGGCGTTGACCCACAGCCTGGTCCTGCATTATGGTCTCTACAAGAAGATGATCGTGAGTCCCGCCGCCTCTGCCGGGGATTGGGGTTGGGGCGAGCTATGGCTTTAGGAATAGTGTGCTGGGCTGAATGCACCAAGTGCGACCTGCCCCTAGGGTAGGGGGGAGCTGCACAGGAGACACCAGGAGCAATGTGCGCAGTGTAGGGGGTGGCGTTTTCAGGCTTAATGGAAGTTACTTTTTCACCACAGGCTGGCCACCCTTTGACCTCAAGCAGACTAGTTCTTGGCGTGGGGTTAGAGTGGTGTGGGGCTGGTTTGAAGTGCATTTTAGGGTGTGACCTCAGGGATTGGGGGCTGGATCACTGTATTGGGATGTGATGTTTACCCTCAGTTCCCTCCCCTTCTCCACTGCCACCTTTCTCTACCTCCAAGGAGCTAGAGCTCCAGGACCAACTCTGAAGCCCTGTGTGTAAATGTGCGTGTGTGTCTGTGTGTGTAAGTAAGAGAGTAGGAGATGTCCTGAGTATCCCCTTTTCAACCTAGAATACCTCTGCATGGTTCTGCTCAATTGCTATTCCATCCTGCGTCTCCCAGACATACACATAATGTCTGTTCCCTTCTGGAATTTATAGCCGTGGTATGGGATAATAACAGTTAAGCCAGGCATTATGGGAATTAGTCAACAATATGAATGTTCATTGCTTGTGCCGAGGCACAGACAAGTGGATTGGTCATAGGAAAGACTGAGGTAATGTTAGACTGAGTCTATGAGTCCCTTTGCCAGTGTGTACCTGTGTGCATTTTCTGGGAGAAGAAAAGCTCTTGTCCAATTTTCAGAGAGGTTTGTAATGCTGCCCACACCCCAAAGATAATAAGATAATATTTGGTTTAGCACCTTAGATTTTAATTAGAAGGTTCTCACATATCCTATATATTTGACCCCAGAATAAAGAGGGCAGAATCAGAGCCCAGGGGAGGAGATGAGTTTGGAGAGAACCGGGAATAGGAGATCCAGGGAGAAGGGCAGGTGTATCAAAGCTTAAGGCTGAGAAAGTAGAAGAGATTGGGCTAGTGGTGGGAAGGAGAAGAAGTGATCTTCGGGGGCTTGATCATAATAATGTACTTGGCTAATAGGAGTCTGTCTTCTTCACTGACCTTTGTCTCATGGCATAACAAGGAATTGGGGGTGGGGAGATTGGCAGATGTGCTTTTGGACAATCTTCCAGGACTGGGTTCAGTGTGGGTGGTCTCAGCCCTATGAGTAGGACTGACCCTACCTGGGTTCATTTTGTGTCTCCATCCCGAGGTCTTCAAGCCATACCAGGCCTCCCAGCATGACATGTGCCGCTTCCACTCGGAGGACTACATTGACTTCCTGCAGAGAGTCAGCCCCACCAATATGCAAGGCTTCACCAAGAGCCTTAATGCCTTCAACGTGGGCGATGACTGGTGAGGGAGGACTGAGACTTTTGATTTCTAGCAGTTTGATGCCAGGGCCTTCAAGGAGGTCTGTGGCCACAGTGGAAAGAGATGAAGGGGAGTCTACTTGCCACTGAATCATCATTCACTCATTTGTTTATTTAATAAATATTTCTTGGTCATTTGCTCTAGGCCAGGCCCTGTGCTAAGTGCTGGGGATGCAATGATAACAACAGCAACATTTTATTATTGTAATTGTGCTGAGTTTTAGGAAGGAGAGGTGTATGACAGACTATGAGAGTGTATACTTGGGAGAATTATCTAGCTTGGGGGGTGGCTGGTCAGTGGGGGCTTCTTAGAGGAAGTAGTGAATATTGAGCTGAGATCTGAAAAAAGTAGGAGGGGATTAGGTGAAAGGTGGTTGGAAGGTGAGGGGAGGAATGTAGTCGGCAGTAGGAACAACATGTGCTAAGGGTCTATATGACTCATTTGAGTAACGAAAAAAAGGCTGAGTACAGCATATGAAGAGAAGTGTATCTGAATGGGGATAAAGAGATACGTGGTCCTTTAAAAAGTAAACAGCCCTATTGTGAATGGGGTTTTACCCCTAGAGTAGAGGAAAGTCATGAAAGTGTTTTAAAAAGCAAAGGAATGATTTGACATGATCAGGTTTACATTGAGCTTATATTATCCATAGTAGACTCAGGGTTAGACCCTGCATGGAAGCCATGATCCTTGCTTACACTCTAATGTACATCCTTGAGAATAAAATAACCATAGCAGTTACTATTTACTCAACTCTATTTATTCTTATTTTTAAACTTTTTTTTTTTTTTTTTGAGACAGAGTTTCACTCTGTTGCCCGGGCTAGAGTGCCATGGAGTCAGCCTAGCTCACAGCAACCTCAAACTCCTGGGCTCAAGCGATCCTCCTGCCTCAGCCTCCCGAGTAGCTGGGACTACAGGCATGCACCACCATGCCTGGCTAATTTTTTCTATATATTTTTAGTTGGCCAGTTAATTTCTTTCTATTTTTAGTAGAGACGGGGTCTCACTCTTGCTCAGGCTAGTGTCAAACTCCTGAGCTCAAACAATCCTGCCTCGGCCTCCCAGAGTGCTAGGATTACAGGTGTGAGCCACCATGCCTGGCCATTTTTTAAACTTTTTATTAGGAAAAATATCAAACATTTCTGTAAAGTAGTACAGTGAACCGCCATATAGCCATCACCTAGCTTCAGCATATTTGAGCAAATGGCCAATCCTACTTCATCTGTTAGATTGTTTTAAAGCAAATTTTAGATGTCACATCATTTTGTCCATAAATATTTTATTATGTATCAATAAATGATACTCTTTTAAAAAACACAATGTCGGCCGGGCGTGGTGGCTCACGCCTGTAATCCTAGCACTTTGGGAGGCCGAGGCGGGCGGATTGCTCAAGGTCAGGAGTTGAAACCAGCCTGAGCGAGACCCCGTCTCTACCAAAAATAGAAATAAATTAATTGACCAACTAAAAATATATATACAAAAAATTAGCCGGGCATGGTGGCGCATGCCTGTAGTCCCAGCTACTCGGGAGGCTGAGGCAGTAGGATCGCTGAGCCCGGAGATTGAGGTTGCTGTGAGCCAGGCTGACGCCACGGCACTCACTCTAGCCTGGGCAACAAAGTGAGACTCTGTCTCAAAAAAAAAAACACAATGTCATTATTGCACCTAAAAAATTAATAGTAATTCCTTAATATCATCAAACTGCAATGACTTCAAATTTCTCCAGTTGTCTCACTTATTTTTTTTGCAGTTTATTTAAATCAAGATCTAAACAAGGTCTACACATTGCATTTGGTTGATATGTATCTTAAGAATTTTAGTCTGTAGCTTTTGAATTTATTTCTTGAAGAAACCAGGTGGTTGATCCTGTAGAGTTTCTATGATAGCTACCGTTTATTGAATGCCTACTCTGCTAGGTATTAAGCCAAGGATTGCTGGTACATTCCCTTAATTACCATACCAACCCCGAGACGTAATAGTCCTTCTCCTGATGTTATACATAAATTAACTTAGTTTTGGGGAGATTTAGATAATTTAGCCTGAGTCACATAACTGGTCAGTAGAGGTGGCAGGATTCCGATCCAGAGCCCAGGTTTTTAAACCACTTCGCTAGTCTGTTACCCTGGAAGATCCTAATGACAAACAAGTGGGTCTACAGAATAGAGGCAACTCATTAGGCTGGCATTGAACGTCTTCCCAACCTTATCCCACACCTCAGCTGCGTGGAATGCCTTCCTGGAATGCCCTTGGTTCTCCCTTCAACCTCTTCAAGGCCTTCTCACCGCCTCCGTGATGGCTTTTTCTTTGTTTTTTTTTTTTGAGACTCTCACTCTGTTTGGGCTCAAGCAATCCTCCTGCCTCAGCCTCCTGAGTAGCTGGGACTACAGGCATGCGCCACCATGCCCGGCTAATTCTCTATATAATATATGTAGTTGGCCATTAATTTCTTTTTTTTTTTTTTGAGACAGAGTCTCACTTTGTTGCCCAGGCTAGCGTGAGTGCCATGGCGTCAGCCTGGCTCACAGCAACCTCAATCTCCGGGGCTCAGCGATCCTACTGCCTCAGCCTCCTGAGTAGCTGGGACTACAGGCATATGACACCATGCCCGGCTAATTTTTTGTATATATATTTTTAGTTGGTCAATTAATTTATTTCTATTTTGGTAGAGACGGGGTCTCGCTCAGGCTGGTTTCTAACTCCTGACCTTGAGCAATCCGCCCCGCCTCGGCCTCCCAAAGTGCTAGGATTACAGGCGTGAGTCACCACGCCCGGCCTTAATTTCTTTTTATTTTTAGTAGAGACGGGGTCTCACTCTTGCTCAGGCTAGTTTCAAACTCCTGACCTCTAGCACTCCTCCTGCCTTGGCCTCCCAGAGTGCTAGGATTACAGGCATGAGCCACCGTGCCCAGCTCATGATGGCTTTCTTGAACCACACCACTCTACAGAGCTCTGTCCTGAACACCCTACACTGCTCATTTGATGTTCTGTCTTGGGAGGTTTCTTGTTTTTATGTTACTGTGCTCTTGCTGTTTCTTTTCTTTTCTTTTTTTGAGACAGAGTCTTACTTTGTTGCCCAGGCTAGAGTGAGTGCTGTGGCGTGGCGTCAGCTTAGCTCACAGCAACCTCAAACTCCTGGGCTCAAGCAATCCTCCTGCCTCAGCCTCCGAGTAGCTGGACTACAGGCATGTCCACCATGCCGGTTCTTTTTTCTTTATATATTAGTTGGCCAATAATTTCTTTCTATTTATAGTAGAGACGGGGTCCTCACTCTGTGTCAGGCTGGTTTCGAACTCCTGACCTCGAGCAATCCGCCCACCTTGGCCTCCCAGAGTGCTAGGATTACAGGCATGAGCCAACGCACCCGGCCTGCTGCTGTTTCTGAGTTCACTTTCTAGGTCTGGAAATGCAGAGTCAGCCCTTAGGCCATACTGGCTCCTTGTAGCTGCTCTTTTTGCATTTAGGGAATACTGCCTCTGGGCTGTTTGTGCTGCATCAGTCTTCCTGCTAAATTTAAGCTACAGTTATGCTTATCTGTATTTCAGATGAGAGTCATGAATTTTGCTTCCATTTAATCAATTTCTGATTGTTTTCAAAGCAATCTAATATAAATAACCAAATTGTGCTACAGGGCTTTTAATGAGGGAAAAAAACATTCCCAGACTTCTCTCTTTCTCCCATAAATTCCTCTCCCTAGTGGCAGCCACTTTAAGCTCCTTTACATATTTCTTCTGGTATTTATTTGTGGGTTTCTAAATACTAATGTTAATCTACAACTACTACAAATTTATAATATTTAGGTAATACCTACTATATGCTAGGTACTATTCTAAATGCTTTACAGCTGTCAGTTCATTTAATCTCAACCCCTATGAAGCAGGTTCTATTATTGTCTTCTTTTACAGATGAGAACACTTAGGCACAGAAAGTTAAACAGCTTGCTCAACTTCAGGATCATTAGTTGTTAAAGAGTTAGGATTGAAGTTAGGTAGTGTAGCTCTAGAATTGGGCTTGTAATCATACTACTACTATATTGTCTCTTATTGCTGTTTCTTCATTTATCAATTTTAGGCATTGTCTATTAAGCTCTTAGTATGGAATATGAGCATTATTTTTTTTTTTTTTTAAGAAATAGTCTTCATTCTGTTTCCCAGGCTGGAGTACAGTGGCACAATCATAGCTCACTGTAACCTGAAACTCCTGGGCTCAAGCAATCCTCCTGCCTCAGCCTCCCAAGTAGCTAGGAGTACAGGCATGGCCAATTTTTCAAACATTTTTGTAGAGATGGGTCTCCTTATGTTGCCCAGCTTGCCTCAACCTCCTGGCCTCAGGCAGTCCTTCTGCCTTGGCCTCCTAAAGTGCTGGGGTTACAGGTGTGAGCCACTGGTGCAGCCTTTTTTAACTCTTAAATATTTACTGTGGACCCAAATAGTATGCTATGATTTAATCTGTTTTCTTATATAGGTAGAGCTGATAATTGCGTTATTATTTTCGTTTGCTTAGGTTTCTAGGTATTGAGCACTAATTCTTTCCAAACCCCTTGAGAAACTAAAAAACTCTCTATGATTCTGTTTTCTACATGGTCAAATATGTCAGCCACACTATTTTCTTGGAGATCTAAAACTAGAGGTTTTTTAAGCCTTTCCTTTTTTTAAAGTCAGGTTTTTGTAGACATAACTTTTATGCAGTAAAATTCAACTTTTTAGGTGTAACAGTTCTGAGAATTTTGATAGAATGTATCAAGGTATAGAATATTTACATTGCCCCACAAAGATTCCTTACACCTTCTTGTAATCAAGCCTTTCTCTCCAACTTAGCTCCAAGCCACTACATCTGATATCTGTCCTTACATTTTGCCTTTTCAAGAATAGCATATAAATGGAATCATATAGTACGTAGTCTTTTGTATGCGGCTTCAAGCCTCTCCCTTTTATAAAAAAATGAAGATAGTAATGATTATAGCTGACATTAAAGGCTTACCAGGTGCCACACACTATGCTCTGGCTTTCTGTGAGTTATTTCACTGTTAATGTTTCACATATATAGGTATGCAATTCTTTAAAATATGTGACTGTAAAGAATGTTATTGAGGCTGGCACGGTGGCTCACGCCTGTAATCCTAGCACTCTGGGAGGCCGAGGTGGGAGGATTGCTAGAGGTCAGGAGTTTGAAACCAGCCTGAGCAAGAGCGAGACCCTGTCTCTACTAAAAATAGAAAGAAATTAACTGGCCAACTAAAAATATATAGAAAAAATTAGCTGGGCATGATGGCACGTGCTTGTAGTCCCAGCTACTCAGGAGGCTGAGGCAGAAGGATCGCTTGAGCCCAGGAGTTTGAGATTACTGTGAGTTAGGCTGACACCATGGCACTCTAGTCGGGGCAACAGAGTGAGACTCTGTCTCAAAACAAACAAACAAACAAACAAACAAAAATGTTATTGAAGATTATGTTAAAATGTGATGTACATAGAAGCCTTTTGAGAAAAACAGCTCATGTTTTCTTTCACCTTATTTATTTTTTTCTTGTATACTTGAGTACCTGGAAGCTGCTTACTTCTCTCCCCAGCTAGGGTTACAAACTCTTTAACAGTGTTAAATTCTCCTTTCCTTCCCATCCAGTGCCTTGCACAGGGCTTGGTACATGGTTTGGTCCAAAATATTTGTTGAATAAATTTTCAGATAGCTGAGATACGTGTAGGAGGAGGGGACAGGGTTATCAAAACATGGAGATTGAAGGAGTTTGGGATGGGGAGGGAGGTACAGGGAGGGGCCAGACAGAGGCAAGAGGGTTCCAACTTACTCCTCTTCTCTGCAGCCCAGTGTTTCCCGGGCTCTTTGAGTTCTGTTCCCGTTACACAGGCGCATCTCTGCAAGGAGCAACCCAGCTGAACAACAAGGTGACATAGTCTGAGTCTTGTTCCCCCTTTCCTGTGGGTTCCTGCACTCGGGGCCTTGGCCTGACACTGGGCTTCCAGCTTCGGGCATGGGTAGGGGGAGGACTGTGAGCTGGGTGTGTGTTTGTTTTTCAGATCTGTGACATTGCCATTAACTGGGCTGGTGGTCTGCACCATGCCAAGAAGTTTGAGGTGAGTGAGGAGGTGATGGGGGAGACAGTGACCACTGCAGGGTAAGTGATCAGGATGACGGTGGGGGAAGCTGGCCAGCGGAATGGTTCCTCTCTTTGTGAGACCACTGTCTCCATAGGCCTCTGGCTTCTGCTATGTCAACGACATTGTGATCGGCATCCTGGAGCTGCTCAAGTAAGTAGCCTGGGAGGAGATGGGGGCATGTCAGCTGAAGAGGTCCCTTAGACTCAGCCCTGGCACTGACCCTGATCTCTCCTCTCCCCCACTAGCTTGTGCTGAGTTCTTGAGGCTTTACTCAGGCTGCCTCTTTGTCTGCTCTGCTGCAGATTCCCTGCTGCCTGCTCACATTTCAGCCTTCTCTGCACATCCCTCTCTGTCCCTGCCTCCAGCCTCTAGGCTGGAGCCCCTAGTTGCTCTTAGGGAACTGGTGGTATTGGGTTTCAGGTGACTCGGGCAGAACCAGGCTCTTCTTAATTCTAGTCCTGATGCTTGGGAGGAGTGGGTTGAGGGGTTCACGTCTGCCTGAGACCCTGGCTCGCCCTCACCCCAGGTACCACCCTCGGGTGCTCTACATTGACATTGACATCCACCATGGTGACGGGGTTCAGGAAGCCTTCTACCTCACTGACCGGGTCATGACAGTGTCCTTCCACAAATACGGAAATTACTTCTTCCCTGGCACAGGTATGGAAATAGGGATTACCATGCCCTTCGTACCCCCTAGCTCCTTACCCCGACTGCCTCCTTCTCAGCCTTCTGCTTTCAGCTCAGGTCTCCTTAAAGAAGCCTTTCCCAACCACCCCAGTTACCGAGATTGCCTCCTTCCCCATCACTCCATGCCCTTACCCTGTTTGTTTCTTTCGGAGCACTCACTGCCGTTTGCATTTATTTGGGGTTTTGTTTTGTTTACTGTTTACCTCATCCTGCCCACTCTAAGAATATGAGATTGGTGGGATTTCATTAATTTCATTAGTTATGTTCACTGCTGTATCCCTAGTGCCTGGTACACAGCTTGGCTCAGAGTAGTCCTTGAAAACTGTTTGTTGATTGAATGCAAGCTGTAAGAGACTTAGTGGCTCCACGGAGTCTGCGGTAGAGGTTTGTTGATGGGGTGAGGGGCCCTCAGTGTGGGTTGAGGTTGAAGATGCTTCCCATGCATGGCCACCCCTCCCCCCCACTTTCCTACAGGTGACATGTATGAAGTTGGAGCAGAGAGTGGCCGCTACTACTGTCTCAATGTGCCCCTGCGGGATGGCATTGATGACCAGAGTAAGCACTGAAGTCTTCTCCCTGCCTTGTTTACTCTGCCCCTTCTTTCTCTTATTGAATTAACCTCTTTTGCCTGGTATTGTCTACTATTGGGCCAGGTGTCCTTAAGGATGAATGGCCTTCAGAAGGACCATGAACCCCTGGTAATTGTATGCAACATATCGTGTGTATGTGCATTTTTCTGGTAAAAGGGTCATTGACTTTCATCAGTCACTCACAGGAGTCTACGACCCCTCCAGAAGTTTAGAACCAATGGTTTGGTTCCCTGGGTTGCCCCTTTCCTGGGCTACATGCTCGCTCAACCCCCTTTTTCTTTTTGTTCCCTGTCTCCCCATCCCCTTGGGGTGCCAGGTGCCCATCTTTGGCCCTCTCCCAGGTTACAAGCACCTTTTCCAGCCGGTTATCAATCAGGTGGTGGACTTCTACCAACCCACGTGCATTGTGCTCCAGGTAATACTGTCAGCACCGCTCAGCAGTGCTCTGCCTGGGCTTGGGGGAAGACAGCAGGGAAGAAGAGCTTCCCTAGCTTGGTGGAGAAAGGGAAGTGAAGGACATCTGTGATGTTCTGATCCGTTATCTCACTGCAGCTGCCTGGGGTTTTGCTTTTTGCAGTGTGGAGCTGACTCTCTGGGCTGCGATCGATTGGGCTGCTTCAACCTAAGCATCCGAGGACATGGGTGAGACTTGCTCTCCTTCCTTTCTCCCAGGTTGTCAGGTGGTCTTGGACCTTAGTAAATGAAGGGGGCAGGTAGTTGGGGAATGGGCCTCACCTCTTCTTGGGAATCAAAAATAGCTACAAATGATATTTGTGTTAGAAATGTCACCTTGAACAGGGTTCCCTAGATGGTTTGAGTTGTATTTTGAAGGCTAGAACTGACAGAACTTGCTGGTGCATTGATGAGAATAGTTGATTAATAGGCAGGATGCCAGGGAGGAGGTTGAGGAGGACAGAGGTGGGGGTGTGCCTTATTTTAAAATTTTTATTGAGACACAACATATGTATAATAAAGTATACACAAGTCTCGAAGGTATAACTTAAGGAATTTCACCACCCAGGTCAAGATATAGAGCATTGTAGTACCTTTGTACCCCTTTCCAGGCAATTCCAAAAGATGTATACTTTGGCTTTTGATAACTTCCTCTACCCATTTCTCTGGTTCCTTGTAACAGGGAATGTGTTGAATACGTCAAGAGCTTCAATATCCCTCTACTGGTGCTGGGTGGTGGAGGCTATACTGTCCGAAATGTTGCCCGCTGCTGGTGAGGACACTCCTGTTTCCTCCTCCCTTGTTGTCCAGTGTGACACAGGGACTCCCTGAAATATGGCCAGGTGGGCCCTGCAGCCCACTTGGTCAGTCTGCCCCCTCCTGCTGGTTGGTTTCAGGACGTATGAGACGTCGCTGCTGGTAGAAGAGGCGATTAGTGAGGAGCTTCCCTATAGTGGTAAGGACCACCCCGCGGCACTCCCACAACAGGAAGGCCATTCTCACCAGGCTCCAGAACCTGGTTTGAAGGCAGATGGGAAATTTTACAGTCTCAGAGCTCTGCAGATTAAACTCCTGTGCTCAGAGCAGGGAAAAGATTGGGCAGCTATTATGTAGGGGGTCTGTGAGGGAAGGAAAGAGATTGGGAAGTCTTGGGACCTGCCTGTCTTGGTCTGAGCCATACTCTCTCCTCCTAATCTCCTCTCCTCCCCAAGAATACTTCGAGTACTTTGCCCCAGACTTCACGCTTCATCCAGATGTCAGCACCCGCATCGAGAATCAGAACTCACGCCAGGTCAGCAGCTCAGAGAAGCTGAGTACAAGGGTGGGGGAGCCCAGTAGAGGTCCAGGATGTGGGAAGTAGGAGAAAGCAAAGTGAAGGAAGTTCTAGGCCATCACTGTCACTGTTACCAGCTAGGAGACAGCCCAGGTTAAGGTAGAGGCAGGTGGGGTTGGGAGGAGGGACAGTATTCCACTGGGAGACCTGAGCTAGAAATATCACTGAGATTAAAACCAGGACAGTAGGGGTAGAAGGCAGCTAGAATGGTGGATGCCCTGGGAATCCCTGGGAGCTGCTCACTCTATTCCTCATCTCCAACTAGTATCTGGACCAGATCCGTCAGACAATCTTTGAAAACCTGAAGATGCTGAACCACGCCCCTAGTGTCCAGATTCATGATGTGCCTGCAGACCTCCTGACCTATGACAGGACGGATGAGGCTGATGCAGAGGAGAGGGGTCCTGAGGAGAACTATAGCAGGTCTGGGGGCAGAGACTTGAGAGCAGGGGGTTCAATAGGCTAGTTGAGGAAGCTCTAAAGGGAAAAAGTGGGTTGGACTTTGTGGCTTGCACCTATAATCCCAGTTCTTTGGGAAGCCAAGGCAGGAGGATTCCTTGAAGCCATGACTTCAAGACCAGCTTGGGTAACATAGGGAGACCCTGTCTCTATAAAAACTTAAAAAAAAAAAAATTAGCCAGGCATGGTTATGCACACTTGTAGTCCTAGCTATTCAGGAGGCTGAGGTGGGAGGATCATTTGAGCCCAGGAGTTTCAGGTTACAGTGAGCTATGATCATGCTATTGCACTCTAGCCTGGGCAACAAAGCAAGACCGTGTGTGTCTCTCTCAGTTAGTCAATTATCATTCATTCATTCATTCATTCATTTTAAAAAAGGGAAGAGGTAAATTGGAAAGCATTAGCTAATTGTCCCTGGCTTACTTTAGTCTGCTACAATTCCCTCCCCTCACTTTTTTTTTCTGTTTTTAATGAAAAAAGTAATGCATATTTATTGTAAAGATTTTAAATAGTGCCAAAATATGTTAAGTTTGTATCACACCATCCCAGACCACAAAGGTAACCACAGTTCATAGTTTGATTTTTATTGTGTCAGATAAACCTTTTTCTATAGATTACAAATATACTGTTCTGTGTGCACATATAAACACATACACACTCTTTGTAGAGTTTGTTGTTGGTGTAGTTTTTTTAAATACAAGTAGGATCATTCTATACATGTTGCTTTATTACTTACAGCTAGTTCCATGTCAGTTATTATAGATCTGCCTCAGTATTCTATCAGCTATATTATAGTCTGTTGTGTGGATGTAGCATAATTTAACCAATTACCAATGATAGACATTTATAATTTTTCCCATTTTTTTGCTATTACATTAATAAGGAATGTGGCAAAGAACCCCCTTACATATACATCATTGCATGCTTGTTTGAATAGGTTAGATTCCTAGAATTGTTGCTGCTAGGTCAAAGGCTGTGTGTGCTAAAATTTTTTGTTTGCTGCCAATTGGCCTTCCAGAATGCCTGTAGTATTCTGGAATTCTGGCCAGCATTTTACTCAGTCCTCCCAGGTCTTGATCTGGACAGGTCACTGTCTGCATACTGCTCTCAACGGCCTTTTGATTTCTTTGTTAGTTTTTCCAGGTGGGATAATTGTGTTGTGGTTGTGTTTTTTTCAAGAAAAGTCTTTATCTTTCTGAGATACATGCTAAAATATTTATAAATTAATGAATTGAGAGGGGGAAAAGGCTAGGGTAGAATTTTTTTTTATCCCAAAACTTTTCTGAAAAATGAAAAGACAGCAGCACCCAGAAGTGCAGAAAAACAGATGCACTTAACGGGGAGCAGATTTCCCCATGTGACTGAGGGATAACCGCAGCTGGACGCTTGCAGGACACACAGTCCTGCTCCCATGCAGTGTTAGAGCTTTGCGCTGGATCTGCTGTAGCGTCTGATGGCCTTCTCAGTCCCTTCCAGAGTCTGCTTCTCTGTCTTAGAGTTCAGGCCTCCCTGTCTCTCCTCTGGATCGGGGCTTTATTGCTCTGACCCTTGAGACCTCTCCAACTCCCCTCCTCCATAGATACCCCCCTTTTCCCTCACCTGGGTGAGGAAGTATCTGAATGGCCTCAGGGCTTCTTTTTTGATCCATTATCCTCAACTTCTCCAGGTCTCTGAGGCTTGACTTCTAGAAATTGATTTTCATTTTCTGGCTTGCTTTGGTAAAACCTGTCTTTAAGTTCATCCTTTTGTTGAAGTTTGGCTTTTTAACCTATAGTTCCAGGCATCTGGGCCTAGTCTCTGCATTATACCGGCTTTCAACAGCACTCAGAAGTCTCAGGCCTCTTCCTGTTCCGAAGCCCTACCTCACTGTCACACCACCCACTGAGTTCCTGTTCTTCTTTGCTGCCTATAGGTCTAACTTGCATATGACTTGCAGTGTAGTGGTAATAAAGAGTTGCCACTTTTTGTGGGTTTGCTGAGCACTAGGTTCATTACTAAGTAAGTGCTTTATATTATAACATATATATCATCATTCCATTGCCATCAGGCAACCCTCATGGTTCTCATACTCAAATTACCAGGGGAGGAATCTGAGGCTCAGAGATGCTAAGTAACTTTCCTAAGGTCACACAGCTAGTTAAATATTAGAGCTGAGATTCAAACATGAGTCTCTGACTCCATACCTTTAACCCTCGTGGTAGTTTAGAGGTAACCGAGACCAAGCAGATAGGGCCTTTCCTGGCTTAGTTCCTTAGCTTAGATAAGTTTCTCAATTCTCTGTGTCCCAAAGGATACTTTTTCAAAAAAGAAAGAAAACAGTATTGAGTACCTATTGGGCCCTGTATTGATTTCACATCCCTTCTCTCTCTACAGGTTTATAACATCATGTCACTCCTCTGCTTAAAACTGTCCTTTACCTTGCAGTTAGAAGAAAGTCTAAATTTCTGACTGTGGCTTAAAAAGGCCCTGCATGCTAGCCCTTTCCTTTGTCCTTCATCTCTAACTACTGTCCTCTGTGCACACTACTCCCAGCCATCCTGGCCTCCTTGTTCTTACTGGAATACATCAGTCTCTTTCCACCTCGTGACCTCTGTGTTGACTTTCTTGCAGCTTGGAAGGTCTTCCTGGAATTTTTGCCTGGCCAGCTCCATCTCAAACTTCAGGTCTTAGGTTTTTAGGACAGCCTTTCCTAATGATGCTGTCTGAAATTTCACCCTTTTCCTCCCATCACCCCCAGTCATGTCACTTGGTTTCACTTTATTCATAGCACTCTCCGCTATCTGAAATTATCATATTTATTTATTTACTTTGTTAGTTATTGTCAGTCGCATTTATTAGGTAAGCTTTTTGAGGATAGGCAGAAACCTGTCTGGCTTATTCTCTGCTGTATTGCTAGGGCCTGTGACAGTGCCTAGTAAAGGGTAGCTCCTCAGTAAATATTGAATACATGAATGGATGAATGAATAGCAGTTGGTCTCTACCAAGAACAGGAGAACTGGTTCTTTAAAAGGCCTGGGAAATGGCTCTGGAGAGGGTGCTGGGAGAAGATTAAAACATGGAGAGTGGGACCCTGACCTCTGTCCCCTTGCTTTGCAGGCCAGAGGCACCCAATGAGTTCTATGATGGAGACCACGACAACGACAAGGAAAGCGATGTGGAGATTTAAGAGATTTTGGGATGCTGTGTCCCGAGGAATTCCTTTTCATCTCTTGGTTGGGATGGAGGGAAAAGGAGTGGTTCCCCCAGTCGGGGACTGGTCACCCTAGGACTTTTACTGACTCTGGGGAAGGGTCTGGAGATCACATCTGGTTGTGGAACCATCTGCCCCTTTTCCTTACCCACCCAAGGCCTGACAACGGTACCTATTAAGGATGAGATGTACACAAGGATAGCTGACTCTGGGATGTTACTGCAGTGGGCCCTGGAGGCCAGTCCTCAGCCCCTCTTGCTCTTTACTCCTTCTCTTCTTCCCTCCACCTCAGAGACTTTTAGGGACGAAGGGGTAGACAGAACTGAGGTTGCCTCTGACATGCTCCTCTCTTGGGTTCTCCTATGAAGGCCTTGTTTCCAGGGCAAGTGAAGAGAAGAAGAGATTTGCGGGGCTCTGGCTCCCTAATACCTTAACTCCACATGATAGGAAGTACATTGTCAAGTGGGGGGAGGGTGTGAAACTGTCCTGTTCTAACTTTTGGCTTTATGTCCATTTTACCACTGTTTTTATCCAATAAACCAACTTGGTATTTTTTTGTACTTTTTATCTTTCTAGGAATATTAATTCTTGCTAGTTTCCTATGTATGAAAGAAGGAAATGGGGGTGATGATGCATGTAATAACATAATTAACATTCATTCAGCACTTATCCTATGTTAGGCCCTGTGTATGTACATGGATTCTTTGGTATATAAGGAGTCAATAGAGCATTCTAGTTAAGAGTTAGACAAACTTGGGCAGATTACTAACTTAAGAGAGGGAGTAGAAGATGACTTCAGTTTTTGAACCTTGGTGTTTGGAATGGTGATGCTGGTTGATAAAGATACACTGAGATAAACTATGTCAATTGCTAACCACAGTGCCTGACGTAAGAAATTGCTCACCGACTGTTTATGTGAAGAACAACGCTCAATACCAAAGTAGCCACAAACATGGACCTTTCTCCGGACGAGTTTATAGTCCAGTAAGGAGTATGATAAGTGTTGCAGCAGATACAGATAGTGATACAAGAAAGAGGAATGATAGATGGGTCACCTCAATCCTTTGATCCTGTTTATCTCTCAACATTCTAGCTTAGAAAGTAAGAATATTTTGAACTTTTTGGACAAAAGGTCCAGAAATCTTGGCACTAAAATGAGTTTGAACTGTGGACTGGACAGCTCTTTGTAACTTTCCATGTAACAGGCTACTCTTAGAAAGTCTGGAGCACAAGAGAGATGAAGCACAGATTTGGGAGCCAGCCAGCCAGCCTGGTAGAGTCCCTGGTGTATATCAGGCCCGAGGCTAAGCGCTGGGGCTACAGAGTAAGTTACTGACTCTGCCCTCCAGGATTGTACACTTGAAATCTTTGCTAGCAGTGGTCAAGATGATGCAAGTGTGTACAGTGAAGGCCTACTGGTTGCCATGTAATTTTCACACAAGGGACACATGTAGCTGGAAGAATGGATGAAATTGCTGTGGGGGAAAGTCATGCTAGAAGAGCAAAGAACATACTCTTTTCACTCATGTTTGCTTTCTGTCAGTGGGGAATGCTGGTTAAACATAGGGCTTGGCAGCAATCAGACTAATCTGGGTTTAAATTTTCTTCAATTATGTGTTCCTGGGCAAGTCACTTCAACTCTCAAAGTCCACATTTCCTATTTTTAAAATGGTGAGACCAGCAGAATCTATCACATGGGATTGTGAGCATTCAGTGAGAAAATACATGAAGAGTGTTTTGCATAGTGCCTGGCAGGGATCAAGGGCATGGTAAATGGTAACTATTATTACTGTTTAGGTTCATGTTGGCAATAACTACTTTGTCCAGATTAGAAACATAACTAGATAGTAGCCAACCTGGGATTCAAGACTAGGCAATTTAACTCCAGAGCTAGTCTGGTTCATCGTCTAGGACTTGCCCTGGATAAGCTCTGTTCATGTTCCTTTGCTTTCAAAACATGGTAGCTGTCACATTTATTTATTTTTATTTTTTGAGACAGAGTCTTGCTTTGTTGCCCAGGCTAGAGTGAGTGCTGTGGCATCAGCCTAGCTCACAGCAACCTCAAACTCCTGGGCTCAAGCAATCCTCCTGCCTCAGCCTCCCGAGTAGCTGGGACTACAGGCATGCGCCATCATGCCCGGCTAATTTTTTCTACATATATTAGTTGGCCAATTAATTTATTTCTATTTATAGTAGAGACGGGGTCTCGCTCTTGCTCAGGCTGGTTTTGAACTCCTGACCTCGAGCAATCCGCCCCCCTCGGCCTCCCAGAGTGCTAGGATTACAGGCGTGAGCCACGGCGCCCCGCCGGTAGCTGTCACTTTTAAATTTTTTTTCATGTGTCCCACATAAGAATTGCATTATCCCAGAGAGCCTGGCACTAAAATTTTCTGCCACGCTAATGGTCACTTAGGCGATTTTTGGTTCAGATAATAATGCCCTGGTCTGGGGTGTGAGAGGGTCCAGGCTTTACAGCCACGTGGGCGCTGCCTGGAAGCCCAGAGGCCTGCGCCGCTGCGACCGCCAGGAGGCGGTGCTCCAGGCTGCGGCCGCGCGCGACGCCGCCCACTCGCCACCCCCCAGCGTGGGTCTGAATGGTTAGGCCCGCCGGGCAGGTAGCGCGCTTCCGCGGCTTCCCTCCACCCCCGTCCCTTCCCCCATTGGTGGGGCCGCAGGTCCGGGCGGAAGTGGGGCAGGCGGGCGGGCGCGAGGCGTCGTCGCTGTATATTCATGAGGCGCGCGCAGCCCGGCATGCTAATGAGGCGGGGCGCGGCGGCTGGCTAAAAGAGCTGCTGGGCGGCGGCGGCGGGCTCGGAGCTGCCCGGCGGGAGCGGCGTAGGCGCGGGTCACTGGCCGGCGCGAACCGGGACATGGAGCCGCCCGGCGGGGCCCTGGGGCCCGGCCGCGGGACCCGGGATAAGAAGAAGGGCCGGAGCCCAGATGAGCTGCCTGCGGCAGGCAGCGACGGCGGCAAATCCAAGAAATTTGTGAGTGTCCCTCCCACCCTGCTCCTGCCTGGCCCCGTAACCGCCCTCTGGACCCCAGCAGCCGGCCCCGGGGGCACCCGCCCGTCTCCAGGGAGCCGCCCCCGCGACTCCCTGCTCCGTTTCCCTCAGTCCTCGGCTCCGCAGCCCGAAATCCTTCCCCTCCGGGACCTCGGGAAGCCCGGGAGTCGCACCCGGCTCCTGCCCCGGCACCCTCGGGGCTTCCTCCGCCCCGCTGCCCGCACGTTCTGCCCTCCCGCCCCCATAGCCCCGGCCGGCTCTCAGCCCCACTTCCTTTCTTCTTCCTCTGCTACCCGAACACGCCTCTCTTTCTTGCTCCCCTTTGCTCTTCTGGGTCCATTTTCTCTTCTTACCCTTACCCCCTTTTTGGTATTTCCTTATTTCCTTCTCCGAAAGGTCACTTCCTTCCCCATGATTGATCCCTTTCACCTGCTAACTTTCCTCCCGCCCAGTCCCCCTCCGGGCCCTCAGCCCGGTGTCACCTGATAATGCTTCCCCTCAGGAATGTTACCTGACGTGGGCCCAACTCCTCTCCTCCCTTGCTTGGACTTTTGTCCTTGCGATTGTGGGAATGGATTTCTGCCCAGGTCCTATGGTCATTGGCGCTTGACGCTAATTTGCTTACCAGTATTTCTCTATCCAGAGAACCTCTTTGCCCTGTTGCTTATCACTTTTTAGGGGCTTAGAACTTCTCATGACTGTGCCCCTTCTGATGTAGGATGGTGATAAAAATCTGTCCTGTGGAGAGGAAGTTAGCCTGCAAGTCCAAGAAGTTTGTAATTGAATTGCTTTTTATACATTTCCTATGATAACCATCTCAATTCCTGCCACACCTGTGCCGCAGAGCTACTACTGACATCCCTTTTCCTACCTGTAGAAGAACAAATTTTCCTCTGGTGCCAGTTACTTCCAGTCTGAGTCTTAAGAAATATGATGTTCATGTAATCCTATCATATTTCATTACCTTTTGCCCTCACTAACTCCTCTCTCCAAGAAGTCATTTGTTTGCTTTTACTGTAAAAAGCTTTGGAAGATATCGGGCACTGTCCAAGAGGGAAAGAGTCTTGGATCTTAAAAATCGTTCGCCAGTTGTAACTGTAGGTTTTTGTCTTATCTTCCAGGTATTTACGCCCCCACCCTATTATTTCCTTCTCCTTTTACCTCATTCTTTCTCGTAGCCTTACCCCACAACATTCTGACCCAGTTCCACAAGTTTGGAAATAAAACTGATAAAATGATGGAAACAGGAAGAAAATGTTGTTTTATGACCTAGAGGATTGAGATGTGGAGCATACTAAACAGAATTATTAATAAAATAGTGACTCATCTCTTCCTACCTATTTCTAGCAAGACCAGGTGCTCTTGGACTGCCCTTTCCACTGACATGCAGACTGTCAGTAACTGCCTGTTTTTATCTTTCGTACACCTTTTTTTCCTCCCTAGAAATATAGGGTTAATAGTAGTGACACTATTAACCAAAGGTGGAGTAAAGCAACATTTCCCTGTGTTTCTTTAGGATAAGAATTGACCCTCTAGAGCTTTCCTTCTAAAACTTAAGTTCTAGGGCTCATATTCCTTCTGTTTCTGTATCATTTTGTTTTGATTTTGTTTCCATGGGTACTGTTTGACCTTCCTCACTCGAATTCTAGCTGTTGTTGCTGATTTATAGTGACCTCTGTGACTTGTTAATGTTTCAAGTGTTTAGTAGAATTTTATACCTGCTTTTATTTTATCTAACACTTGTGTGTTTCACAATTTGTGAAGTCTGCTAAGTATGTGATGCTATAAGGTGAGAAACGTGAGCAAACTCAACTCCTTTTCACCTGTTTTTTGGAATGTCCATGGAGTCTTGTATATGCTTAGTGGATCTGGCTCAGAGTTGTTGGTATTTGCTTTAGAGAGGGTGGAGCTGAACCAGTTCTCTTTTTCTTTCTGAGGTATTGGTCTTAACCCCTCACCTGCTGAATTTTAAAACTAGGTAATACTGGTAGTGAAGAGACTTTGTATTTAGTAGCTAAGGAATTTGGAAGGTTTCCAGGAAAGTAGTGCTGCTTAACCTGTTTATTGCCAAGTATAACCTATCTAAGGGCGTCAAAATGTTCTCTTCCTCTTTGGTCTTTTTATGAGAACTCTGTGGAAATGAGAGATGAGGAGGAGCATTGCAATGCATTTCTGTTTTTGTCTGTGTATGTATATGCGGGTGGGTGGAGTGGGTGAGATTACTGGTGTGCTTTTGTTTCCCTTGGCTTAATTTTCTTGAACTGTATAGGCTAAAATTGAACTCAAAGCTCTTTCGCCTACTCCACCTTTTCTAAAGTGTGTGTCCTCTGGAACTCAACATTAAGAGTGTACTTTATTAAACAGTACTGGTTTGGAAAGTGTGCCTGAAGGTTGTTTGCATTTGAGGGGTTATAATCCCTTTAGCTGCTACATACCTTCCCCAGCTTATGCAGGTTCTAAGTACAGCTCAACTGATGAGAACACAGAGCTCACAAATTGCATAAGATCTGCTCTTACCCTGTGAGGCATCTTGTGTGGAAAGGAGATGGTGTCTAAGTTTAAAAAGTAGTTGGGCATTACCTTTTAAGAACACATGATTGTTAGAGATGCTGATGTGAGAGGCTGTACCAGGCTGCCTGGTACTCTCCCTTTGTTCTTGGTGAGTCTGTCTTCTCCCAGGCCATGGCATATCCTTTCTCCAGCATTATTCCAGTCCCTTTCAGAAGTCCTTAAGATGAAGGAAAACAAAAATTCCAAGTGATTAGAGTGTTTTCTGATTTTTCAGCAATGATGAACGTGGGTGTCAAATAGACTGGTTTTCTGAAATATATGTAAGGGGAAAATAAGTACAACCAGAATGTTAGGAGGCTGTGCAATAATCCTGTATTTAATAGATTCCATATCTTCTCATACAATCCAGAAACTGATACATTCTAAGAATATTGCTTCCTGATTCTGCTAGGAGCATAACTTTGTAAAACATAAATGTTAATGTGGGATTAGGGCGAATAATTTTTTAAATCTTTAATTTTGGATGCCTATGTTGAAGTATTTTTATGTTTCAGTTACTCTTCTAAAAGCAAAGTGATAGAGTATAAATGTTTAGTTGTAGACCTCTGTCCAAAATGAGACAGGAAAAGGATGCTAGGTGGAATTTTAAGCAGGTATTAGGAAACATAGAGAATATGAAAGAAGTAGAATTGTCAGTACAGATTTCTGCTTATCTCTTAAAGAAGAAGTAAACTTTGATCCAAAAGTTCACAGAAAACCAAGAAGTATACAGAGAGCTTTGTACAAGTCGTGTTTTTTAAAAAGATGATAAACACAGGGATTATTTAGTTTGGAAAGAGGGAGAGGAGGCTACAGGAATGTTAGTGAGATGTTTCAGATGAAAAAATGATAGTTTCAAAATCTCTGCCCTCCTTCCTGCCTTGTCTGAAAGACGGTCCATGGATCTACTTGACATTGTTACCTGTCCTTGACTCAAAGAAAATTCTCTGTCACAGGAGGTGAAACTGAGATTTAGAATTAAAATCTCTCCTTTGGAAGAGTTGGTAAATGTTGGGATACTTTTTTTAAAGAGCTGAAAATTTTATGAACTGTAAATTACATTTATTATAAAGGCTAAGAAAATAGTAAGTGAGAAATGGTTTAACTTTGTAGACGGACATATAGGTCACAATAGATTAATTTTATTTCCTGTATGATAGAATAACCTTTTGTTATTCTCAAAGATCCTCAGTATTTTATGAATGAATTGCCAAATTATTCTTGGGGAGCATTATATCTTCAGTGAAACATAATAGAGGTTTAAAAGATAAGGTTATATGTCACATATGATTTAGGAGACTAGGTTAAAATCATGTTTATTAACAAGAAATACTGGGTTTTAAAGACAAGGATTTGAGTATGCAGGTGATGTTTTCTCCCATTTTATGTCTCAGTGGCTGAAGTTATTGATGGCTACAAAACCCATCCCCATTTTGAAACAAACTCTGTATGACTTTAAGTGTCTTTCTTTTTTATGTTGAGTCTCCTATTTTCAATCACTTTTGTTTGAAAGCAGTAGGAAAAAATTCACCTCTTGCTAGCAGCAAAGAAGCTTTGGGCTTTTGTCCCTAATTAGGTTTAGGTGAGACAAAGCCACGCTTTCCCTTGGCCCTCCTCCCTGTCATCTCTTTCCTCTTTTGTTTTTATTTCTTGCTTGCTTCTGTAGGGGTTGATTTGAACCCTATGAACAGCTAGGCCTTTGGGGAATCAGGGCATTGAGAAGCTTTTGATACTAAAATTTCTTAAAATGCCTGAAGGTAAAATTGAAAACTGAAGAATACTTAAATCACTGAACATATTTTAATGTATTGTCGCCTTGCCTTTTTTTTTTTTTTAAACATAGTTTTTAGAATTGAAGAACTCTTTTTAAGGAAGTAAAAGAATTATTGAAGGAAAAAAATGTTGAGACCAATATTTTAATGAAGTTTACCACTGATTACAGGACAACTCTGGGTGAATCATTGTTCTTTCAACTTTAAAATTCTAATTTCCATCCGTTATTAAAGCTTGCTATGACTATTAGCCTTAAAACTTTAGAGTTAGAAGGAACTTTAAATATCATCAAGTCCAAACACCCACTCAGTGCAACAGTCACTTCTTGCAGTTGTAGGTTGGAAAAATCAAGGGGCTAAGAGGTGGAAATTGGACGGACAAATGGAGGAGGAAAAGCAGAAATTTTGGATTCTGTATTTCCTTTAGTAAATTTCAGGATCTTGGAATAGCTGGAGTAGTAGAAAGGGATTATGTAAGAGGAACAGATACACTAGAAGCTGTGAGATTGAGAGGAAGAAGATGGAAGAAACTCGCTCTATATTACTTGGCTCTGTGACAATTCCTTGTTAATTTACCATTTAAATATTTGTTTAAATTTCTTTCCTTCAACAAGGGGGAATGGAATAGATATGGGGATACAGAGAATAAGCATAATGGAA